CGTGAGGACAAGCACAAAGTGAGGGGAGTTGCATCCCCCGGCTCCCCTTTTCGATGAAAGCGGAGGGGTTCCCGCGTCCCCACAAGTTTATGGGGCCCCTGGAGAAGAGCCCCCCGGTGCTCTGCCCCCATCGTGGGGTCCGTGGGCTCCTCCTGTGCCTGCCGGCCACGGGGCACGCCCGACCCCACGGTGTGGTTCGGTTTGTGACCGAACCCTGACCGGGACGGAGCAGGGCCTCGGCGCTGGGCGAGGCCTGGAGCCGCAGGGGAAGGGGCACCCTTTTCACTGCGGCTGTGTGCTCTTTCGCTAGAGAGCAGGCCCGGTTAAGAGCCGGTGTGGTTGAGGAGGACACCGAGGAGTGGCAGAAAGACTCACATTTTACAGGACTGGAGAGAGTGGGAGGTGTGGACTTATCTTACATCAAAGGAGATGACACCAGCGCCTGCGCTTCCCTGGTCGTTCTCAGCTACCCGGCTCTTGAGGTAACGGCAAGTGAACAACTTCACTCCTTCAGGTTGTGTCCAGGTGTGCAATAACGTGAGGTGTTTAATAGAAAACTTACACAAAGGCCATTACCTGCTGCGCCTCTGCCTCGCAGGACACCGGTCAGTTATCACCTGTATGTTCAACAAAGCCTCCAACCGTACGTTCTGCAAGAAAGATAAACAGAGAAAAAAAACCCACGTGTGTAAGGATTTAGACGTAAGTTTAGGAAGATGCGATGCAAACGGCTCCTGATTGTGAGAGGTTTGTAGGATTACTGGGAATTTATGAGGCATGGAGGGATAAGTTTAGTATGCGTTTAAGTTAGTTGGTAAATTGAAAAATACCGTGGTGAGATGTAGTCCATGCTCAGGCACAGAAGTCTGTAATGGGTTTAGGTGTATATTGAATATTATCAGTCTCGGCCACTAACCAGAAGGAAACAAAAAGGACCATTGTTATTCAGTGCCCATCAAGAGAGGAAATTAAAGCATTTGTAGCACTCAAACAGCAGATGTCTTGTTTGTGAGTTCTTGCTGGGAATTGACTAATAATATGGGATGTAACGTATCAAAGCCTTTTCAAAACCGCCATGAATCCCACATCCCACAGTAATTTTACTTGAATTAATAAAGATTTTTGGTCTCTTTCCCAGCTTTCAAGATGATATAAAAATTAGCTATAAAACCTATAACAAACAGAGAAATAAAGTTTGATACTGGCCGCTGGGATGTTTATGAACTGAATTTCAAATCCTGCCTTGATTCTTGCCTTGCCCTGCATGAACGTTTTTTTGTCCTGTCTTACAGGGTTTCTTTTGGCCTATCCCTGCATAGAGACAGACACCCTTTGATAATGCTCTGACTCTGTGAACTTTGAGGTCCCCCACCGTGTATTTGAATAGCTGCCCTAATTTTATTTCAAGGACTTCACTCTCAAGCAGGGTATGGTAGGTGATGTCCAGCCCTCTTCTGTCAGCAAGTCTATTATCCACCCCCTTCTCTAACTGAGTGACAGACTGACACAGCCCAATGGCCTTGGCTTTGTGGGAGAGATCCAGAAGCAGAGTATTTAAAAAAAGATTAGAGTAAGGGACATAAACCAAAGGAGCTGCGGTGATGTCCCCCTCTTCTGTCAGCAAGTCTATTATCCACCCCCTTCTCTAACTGAGTGACAGACTGACACAGCCCAATGGCCTTGGCTTTGTGGGAGAGATCCAGAAGCAGAGTATTTAAAAAAAGATTAGAGTAAGGGACATAAACCAAAGGAGCTGCCTCTGAAACAGTCAGGAACTAACTAGCGAAGTCCTGGAGGTCATTGTCTCTGCACTGTCCCACTGCTCCCAGGTGCTGTACGAGGATTGCCGGATGGTGACAGACTGACACAGCCCAATGGCCTTGGCTTTGTGGGAGAGATCCAGAAGCAGAGTATTTAAAAAAAGATTAGAGTAAGGGACATAAACCAAAGGAGCTGCCTCTGAAACAGTCAGGAACTAACTAGCGAAGTCCTGGAGGTCATTGTCTCTGCACTGTCCCACTGCTCCCAGGTGCTGTACGAGGATTGCCGGATGGTGGCTGTGAGCGCCCAGTACGTGGCAGGATTCTTAGCCTTCCGAGAGGTCCCTTTCCTGGTGGAAGCTGTTCGGAGACTTCAGCAGGAGGAGCCCAAGCTCACACCTCAGGTGTGGCTTATTTCTTTGTCCTGAGTTGAGATGTCATGAGGGCGCAGAGTACCGCTGAAAGGTATTCTTCCCTCTCCTGAGACCGCACTGTCTGGCTGTTTTCCAGTGGCAGGGCAGAGAGTGCAGTGTCAGAGTCGTATTGAAGCATCTATTGCCCTTTCCTTAGGAACCAGGGATGCCAAGCTAAGAACAGCCAGGCCTCCCTTGGCAATGGGAGTCCCCTTGTGTGTGCAGCACCAGTGAAGAGTGCTGCCAGCCACTAAGAGCTCATGCTGCCGATCATTTCAGGTCAGGTGTAGGCAGCACCGCAGGAAGACCCTTATAGAGAGAAGTAAAAGAACTGAGAGAGACTTCTTCCTCACAGGGCCAGTATCACTGTTTGCTTATTGGAGTGGCTCTCAGTGTACAGGAAATGACATTTCTTTTTTGGCTTTTTCAGGTACTTCTTGTAGATGGGAATGGCCTGCTCCATCCCAGAGGTAGGACTTTACTGGAGAGCCCTGCTTTCCAGGGTCCCTGTGCTGCCGCTTGAGATTCCTGTTCTCTGGTGTCCTGCAGTTACAGTGACTCGTTGTTGGCAGGATTTGGTGTGGCCTGTCACCTCGGAGTCCTGACGGATCTACCATGCATTGGAGTGGCCAAGAACCTCCTGCAGGTGGATGGCTTGGTCAGGGATGAGCTGCACAGAGAGCAGGTTAGGCCAGGTTGGGAATTTATTTCCACTCTTTAATATCCCAAGAGAATTGGGACGGCCGCATACAAGTACTTTCTAACCAACTGACCTTGTGTGTTTTTATCCCTAGATTCGTTCCCTGCAGAGGGAAGGAGATACGTTCCCACTAACAGGCACTTCGGGGCGAGTCCTGGGCATGGTAAGCTGCGGGGAGTTTCCTGTTCATTTGGCCATCAAGTCTTGCAGCTTTGTGTAGCTGGGAGCACTGGAGAATGCTGTCTCTCTAGTGGGACTGTCTCAGTGATATTAGTTCAAGGAGACGTGATGTGTACAGGTGACCAGTAACACTGCTTTCCGCTTCCTGTGAGCTCAGACATTTGTAGAAATAGTAGAAAGAGTTCAGGTGTTGGATATATTCACGTCCATGGCTATGGCATCTGAGGTGCCATACTCCAGCACCCCCGTTCGTGAACCACAGTCAAGGAGAGGTGCCAATTCTGTAGCAGCTTACCAGGATGCAATATGGAAGTGTCTGACTCAGAAGAGCGCTGCACAGGAAACGGGCAGATGTAAGAAACTTCCTGCGTCTGGTGTTATTTCAACATGGTCTGCATTAGCAAGTCTCACCGCTTCCCAGAGCGGTGTGAGGCATTTGGGGAAGGGCCACAGGGCAAACAGTCCCTATGAGGAGATACGGGGAAGTAGAGGATCAAGAAGGCTGGGAGTTACCAAATACAGAGCCACCATCCCACCTTCTGAAGGCAACTGGCTAGCTTATAATTCATCTGCCACTCTGTATTTGTTAAAATAAGCCTCTTAAGTATTTGATCTTTCTGAATGCACAGGTCCTGCGTAGCTACAACAACAGCTCTAAGCCGCTTTATATCTCTGTGGGTCACAGGGTGTGCCTGGAGACAGCCGTGCGTCTAGTCAAGTCCTGCTGCAGGTACCGGATCCCAGAGCCCATCCGTCAGGTACAAAAGCAGGGGAGCTGAGGAAGGGGAAGGCAGGCCTGGAGCAGGGAAGCAAGCAGGCAGGCAGTGGAGGGGGCTGTGGATGCCAAGCCTATGGCGATGTTTCAGAGCCTCAGTTTGCCACTCATCTGCAACTGACAGTTCTGCAGCTGGCACCCTTCTTGCTGGCCTGTTCTCCCCAGCCTGTTGTATTATGGTTTACGTGGTAGTTAACTGATCCTTCCTTCTTCCTTGCTTGTTCTTCTGACGCAGTGCCTGGAAGCACACACAGCCCTTACTGCAGACCCAGCCTGACTGATTCCTTGGTTCCTCTCTGCAGGCAACTTCTGTGATGCTGATGTTAATACACAGGAGCTGGAAATGCAGTTTTCCTGGGCACTCTGAGCCTAGCACAGACTGCAGTGCTGCTTCTCTGGGCTTTTCCCTGCTACTGCACTCCGCAAGGAGCTGCAGGCTCTGGGGCGGCAGCCAGCCGGTAGGTGACAGCACTGGATCACTGTCAGTGAGCCGCAGCTGCCACCAAGGCTCAGCTTCAGACTAATTAAATCGCAGCAGGGCTTGAGGAAAGGATCTGGAGAAGTGCAAAGCCTCTGGGACTTCTAGCCTGACAAGTGCTTCCCTTCTCTCAGGGTCACCCTGCTGTTAGTGGCTCAGACAGGCCAGGCCCAGCGACCATCCAGGGAGCAGGGCCTGTTCAGATGTCCGTGTTCATAACATTGCCCTGGAACACGCCGTTCGCATTGCTACACCGCTGTCTTTGTCAGGTGCCTGGCCACCTTTGCTCTGCAGCTCCTCAGAGCAGCACTAAGGTGATCCTGCTATGGGCTGTTACGCAGCCTCTGCACACAGGAGCTTCTCCTTGGTACTGCAGTGTTTTCTGAAAACAGAGTATTATAGCTATAAACCAGACAAAAATCTAACACCTTAGAGCAAAACAAACCTTGAAGTGTCCGTACCAGAACTGGAGTTTCTGATCTCATAAACCACTACCTGCCAGACGGGAGTAGGCTGATAGATCTTTTTATGTAATCTCTTCCAGCAAGGGACAGATGCCTCCGCAGAGCTCTGAGCTAGCTCTGCAGTTCGGCATGTTCAGAGGAAAGGGGAAGAGCATTCCCTTTGGAAACAAAAAGGTCTCTTGGAGCTTTTCATCACCCTCATTTAATTTCCAGCTATCTCCAGTATTTGTCTATGTTCTGAGACTCTTCCAGTTCTCTAACTATGACCTTTATTTAAAGTGATGGAATGAATTGTTGTCACTTTTCTTACAGAGGGATTAAAAATCCAAAAGGGAATGTGTTTACTGTAGAGGTAGAGGAATGGCAGGAGATAAGGACACTTAAACCTTTTCATGGGACTTCTCCCTGTTGCAGTTCCTCTGTGTGGTAACTGTCACAGATCTTGACGCAGGGCAGTGCTGGAAGCCTCAGCTCTTGAGCACCTAAAGCTGGAGTTAGGAAGCAGAAGGCTGCGGGCAGTCCTGCTGTGAATGACTGACTTGACCTTTTTGCTATGGCATGTCCCCAGAACAAGCTTGCAGACCTGATGGGTGATGTGCTTATGGCTTTCCCAGTGTCATGAAAGACTTCTGGATCGTTGACTCTTAGTTTGTAAGTTCTGGTAGCCCTAGGAATATAATGGTCTTAAGAGAGCTCAGCTGCCCATACCTTCTTGAGGCTGTGTTTATGGCTTGTATGAAGGCAGTAGTGTGCTGCAGCATGTGCAGTGCTGTGCAACTGTTAAACCTCCTACTTTCCTAGAGGTATGGCTGGCCAGTCTGTATAGGGTATGTTGTGCTTCTTGGGCATGCAACACTATCTAGGCAGTGATCAGAAACGGTTTGATTTGCATTCAGCCCACAATGTGGTCGTGCTGCCAAAGGAACTGTGGCTGTGATGCAGGTGAGAGAAGTGATTTTTCAGAGAAAGAAGAGGGAAGTTCATTATCACCTACAATCAGTATTTACATCCCACTTAGTCCTTATTCCGTGTGTAAGTGCAAGGCCAATCTGGGAGAATTTTGCTTGCATGGGGGTGATCTCTCTGCCCAGCCAGCTTGTGAGATTTTGAGGTTCTGCAGATAGTTGGTCATTTGGAGCTACCCAGACAGGGACTGAGGTAGGCAGGAGCTGTCATGCTAGAATAATAAGCAAAGCATTCAAACTGAGTGGCACCGGAACAATACCAAGCCCTCCTGAGAGCAGCTGCCCTTGCCTACTTCTGGCAGAGGTCAGAACCCCTCTCCAGTGTTTGCCCACGCTCCAAGCCTGCTCAGAGCCAGGATCCCTATGCACAGCGGGGAAACAGAAGCTTTTAATGCTCTCCAGCTGACAGGGATTGCACTGGGACTGATTCTTCTGCTCTGGCTGTTTCAGGTTCCTGGTTGGCTGCACACCAGCCTCCAGCTCACTTGATGATCCTTTTAGCTCCAGCTGGCGCCTTGCCCAGCTGGTTCCTGCTGGCTCAGGACGTGGCTGATGGGACAGCCTGATGTTGCTCCAGCCCACCAAGAAGGACAGAAGTAGGCCTGCCCAGGTCTCTGAATTTCTGCAGGTCACTTCATGTGAAATACTAAATGCTTGCCTGTAGGAGAACTGAAAAATAAGCTGTCACCCCTCTCCTCTGTGTGAATAGCTCCTGCTGCCCAGCAGAGAAATCAGTAGCTGATATCCTGAAACTCTAACTCCCTTCAGATGTACGCCCCACTGCAAGCTTGTCGTGTACACAGGGATCACCACTGCCCCTCATAAAACAGGCAAAGCAACAATTGCAGACCCTAATGCCAGCACTAGTCTCCTCTGAAAATAGAAACAATCTGTGAGGATTATTACGGGACGGTTATCCATCTTATTGATTAGCCTCTTGGTTAATACGCTGGGTTAAGCTGTCTCTCAGCACTGTGTTAGGAGTGAGGACTGGCCAGTAACTTGCCACCTAATCGAGCATTAGCTTATGTTATCAGCAGAACATGGTTGGGGTTTTTCTTCCCTAGAAAAACTGTTTGTAGATGTGACTCTTGCTACCCTGGTCTCCCAGTAGGGACTCTATTGAACAACCTCCTTCCCTTGTTATAAAATATATCACGTAATCTCTTATTCTGAAGAGTGATCAAAGTTATTTGTCAGTTCAGTTATGAAACTGTCCAATTATAGAGAGAAGGGAAAAAAATCTCCCAAACAAACCACCCCTTATGTAACTATTTTTCATTCTCGAGCTTGCAGAATTGTTAAGCAGTTGTGGAGCTGCGTTTCCAGCAGTAAGCAGGCAGAGCCTCCACCCAAGAGGTCTGACTAGGAGCGGCAGGGATGGAGGGGTGGTGGGGAGCTTCTCGAGTTACAGGAGAGACTCTTCAGAAACGGAACAGCGATGAGAGTAGGAAATGTTTCAAGGACAGCCACTGGGGATGTATTAACCCACTTGATTAGCATGATCATCATATGCTGCGAAGCTTTTCCAGCTGGGAAGGTCACATACTGCTTTTTAAGTGGAGAGAGACACTCTGCCTTTGAGGTGGGGCATAGCAGCTCTTCTAAAATGTCACGGTGAAGCAGTGTTTTTGAGAAAGGAAGTTTCTAAAAAAGAAAAAAACTCTGAGGGAATGTAAAAATCAACTGCCAATTCTCAAAGTGGTCCAAGAGCCCAGGATCTGCGTGCTTGTGATGGCATCTAAGAGTCTTCTGCACCAGAAAGCTGAACAATGACACTTCTGGGGAACAAGCACATCCAGTAAATGCCCAGCAACACTTTCTGTAGCTCTTGGGATTTCCATTGGTGTTCTCCTTGCCCCACTCTGACCACATGCTGTCCTGCATTGCTGATAAGACACAGCAACGTAGTTTTTCTGGTGAGCTCAGGAGGGCTCATGTCACAGGAGAGTGTATCAGAAGAGGAAGGGAGGAACTGGACACTTGCATGAGGATGGGTTTGATGAGGTTTGGTGATGGCTCCAAGCTCTATTTCAAATGAGGAGGGCAGTAAACCATGAATTTGGTAGAGTCTCAACATTACTCCTTTCGATTTTGGTACTGGAGAGCAGAGCCCAGAGCACAGATATGGCCTGGCATGTAAACTGCTCCCGTTGTCTTCCTTGGCAGCTTTGCCTTTGGACTCATGAGGTAGGACAGTGTGAAAGGTGTGTTAGTCACTTGCCTTGCCACTGCTGCCAAGAAGCGATAGAGCCAAGGATGTGCTTATGTCTTGTCTCTGTTTGCTTTTAGTGGATGTTTTTACCTGCTATAGCTGCATGATTACCATCGCACAGCCAGCCCATCAGGCGCACAGGGAGGATGAGCCAAGCTCTTGCCTAGGGAAAAGGATATGCAGCAGACGAGTGGTGCGTTTCTCCATCTGTTGCTGCATCGTACAACTGCTGGAACAGAGAAAGGAAAGGGATGGGTACAAGAATGGGCAATGCCAACTTCTCTCTTTTCATCCCATGTCCTGTTGAGGACTCGCCTGCTGGATTGCCATATTCCCAAACTCTTCACAGCCCTCTCCATAACCTTGTTCCCCTTCTCAATTTACAGTTTCCTGTGGAGGGCAGAGTCCCATTTCTCAGCTGATGAGTGACCAGAAAAGCTAATCCTTTGGGAATATCACAGTGTCACAGCTATAAAGACCATGGATGATCTTGGAGTGCTGTGAGCCTGGAGGCTGCAGCCTGCACCTGCTTGCAATGCCAATGGGAGTCCCTGTTACCATAGTCCTGGGACACAGCTTCTGTTTCACTGAGCGTACAGTGAAAGTTATTGCAGCAGAGTCCATGGGGCATTCTGCTGCTCTGGGAAAAGTCAATAAAATGCTCCAGTAGTTCCCCACCTTTTGAGGAGGGATCTATGAGCCACTGTCTCATGCTAAATTGCCTTGCAATGCTGCAGAGATCTGCCTTCACATCCGTACGGTTTTGGCACTCCAACAACTTTCTGGGGGCCAGGGGTCGTACTGCTCTTGTACATCAGTATAGGCTGAAGGATTTTGATAGCTTTGAGCAAAAGGGATGAAGAAGATCCCAAGAAATAGACGGGTGGGCAGAGTCCTGGGCTGAAGGGGAGTCATTTGTTTTGGGCATCTTTACCTGCGAACATTTTGCTGATGCACAGGAACTCCTCAGCACTGCGGAGACCTGCATGTGATCACGGCATGTGATCCCTTTACAGAGTGAGGGTGGTGGAGCAGCTTCCGTTGGTTCAATGGGAGAGCTGGTTTACTTTTTGGAGTATCTCCTCTTGAGGGACGGAAGGCTTACCTTGCCCTCAGTTTTCTAACAAAGTCTATTCCATCTCTTGTCAGACAGTGATGAGCTATTGCTGGGCAAGGCCTGTGAAGGAGCTTAGCTGCTTGTTATGTTTTCCTGCACTGCGTTTGGAGGTGCCTACGTGTGGAAGAAGTCATTTGGGTTGGTTCAAGGGATGAAAGCACTAGACCACTCTCAGACTCCCAGGTCTCTCCTGGCTCTGCTGCCAGGGTTCATGAAAGGGAAGTTGCGGTTCTGGCGTAGAGACAGGGCAAAATGGAAAAGCAGCCCATCACCTCAGCAACTCCCCCTTTGCCAGCGAACACCTCTTCTTCCGAAGCCTCTGGAAATCCTGCTGGCCTGTCACATCCCTGGATGATGAGGAGCAGCCATTCAGTGTAGGCTGGGTCAGTGCTTGCTGCCAGAAGGCTCACTGCACTGCACTGTGTGCTGGAAGCCTGTGCTAGGTAATCCTCTGGGTCTCACAGGGACCCTTGGTGAAGGATGATTGCACTCGGCTGCCGCCAGGATTTGCTGAGGAAGCCCGGTCTGGGCCCTACTTTGGCTGTTCATCCTGCCATGCTTGCGGTAAGTCAGGGCTGAGCAGACCTTAGGCACCGGCTGGCAGGAGCTGGCTGTGCCCAATGTCTCACCTCCTTAATCCCATGAGAAGTAAAGGGGCAGACAGCAAGGGTTCAGCGGATGTCATTTCTGCTTCTGAAATGGACTGTATTCCAGTAAGGCTGTTCGGTCCAGGACCCTCTGTTTCTTCATTTTAAGTCTTCATTCTCCCGAGCAGCTTGCAGTGAGACGCAGAAACCAAACAAGGAAAGAAACATGCAGGTTCCTCTTTGCGACACAGTCATACAAGAGCTATTTGTGACGTACTGACATCAGGGTGTGCGGGGGCATACTGAGATAACAAAGGGGAGGCACCAAGCAGGCTGATCAGTCCATTTTCACTCATTTTTCTGCTTAATTCCAGGCTGATATTAGATCGAGGGAGTATATTCGGAAGCAGCTGTGTTCACCACTGGAGGTCATATCTTCTGGGCCAGAGAGGTAGGTGTGTGGGCAGCCAAAGCAGCTGCCTCTCCAAAGGGGATCTGCTCATGTAACGATCTTCAGTAATGGCATTAAAGGGACAGACGGGGTAACAAGGTGAGCTCAAGTGACATCAGGACATATGCTGCCTCCATAAAGGGTGATTTCTGGTGATTGTAGTCATGCTACTTCACACGTTTCTTCCGCAGAGCACTGCGTCCTAGGCTGGGGAAGGTCACTGGGGATTTGGTCTGTTTCTGGCGCCTGCGATAAGCAAAGCACTAACGCCTACAGGTGTGACACGAGGGTGAACAGAAATATCCTGCAGGGAGCCGGTTTCTGCCCCCAGAAAGCAAGGGGAGGGTCAGACTCCCCCACTCTTGCATAACGTAGGCCAGTGGCTGCTTTGTTAAACGGTGTAAATCCATAGCAAGTCCACTGACGTGTCTGAGTTCCTTGTGTTGTGGCTACGCTGCCTCTTCAGCATAGTTCACGAGAGCGCTGCTGGGTTCCCTCAGACCCACACCAATACCAGGCTGGACAGATACCAGATAGCCCTGCCTGAAGGGCTGCTCAGGGATGAATGAAGTGTGTCAGGACTCAAAGCCCCCTCTGCTCCGAGGGTCCTGATGGACCAGAAAGAGTGAAGGTTGCCGGTGGCAGTAGTGAGGGATTACTTACGTTGACTGAGGCAGCTCTTATGGATTCCTTAGGGCACCTGGCTGGTGCAACTCGTCATGCTCTGCTCAGCTTCTCTGTTCTTTGAGTCATGCAGCCAGAAGCAAAAGAAGGAGCTTTCTCTGCTCTTCTAGTGGCAGTTGCACAGCGTGGCCAGGCCATGGGGATAGCCCTGTGCAGTGCCAGGCTGGGTGTCCCCTGTTTGTGCTGGAGCTTCATCTCTAGCACCTCTAACACCTTCCTGCCATGGCAGAAGCTCACACAAAGGCTAGCTAGTTTGGAGGTCTGTGCAACAGAAAAACTCATTCCATTTATGACCATGTATCTCAAAACCTGTGTATCTGAGCCCCTTATTCACCAAGTGACACAGTTATTTGGTCTTTTTGGTTTCTACTTTTTTTTTAAGTCTGTCACCCTTCCTTGTTTTTGTTCCTAGCAGGAAAAAGGAGGCTGAACTGGATGATTAGTCTGATGCCAGAAGAAACTGCAGGGCTCCTCTTCACTGGATCCTCTCCTCCACCAAGACTATGGTTCTGTTGAGTGCAGCAGCTGAGTGCCAGCCCAGGGGAGAGCAGTGCAAGGCCGTGTCAGTCAGGACAACACCAGCCACTGTGCATGATTCTGGTGGGCAGGCAGACCAGCTTCTGTTCGAGGATAATGTTTAGGGCATATTTCTCAGGGTTGATTTTTAAGCATTGTAAAAATATTTGCGTAAGCAAAGGTACACTTGTAATTTTGCTACAACTTACTTGAGTACTTGGGCAGTTGCGGGAGGTGATTTACAAAGAGATGCTGAGACACTTAACTTAGTTATAAACAAACTCCAGAGCTGGCCTTTGGCTCCCACCACACCTCTGTGGCACAGAGACTTCCCTTCTTGTCGTTTTTGGAACAGCTTCCACCCAGTCCCTGCAGCCTGTACTCTCACATTCACTTTGCACGTCTCCGGGGAACAGAGCCCAGTACGCAGCTCCGGCTGGTCCTGACAGACGGGCAGAGGACGCTGTGTTTCAGGTGGGCGTGTGACTCACGAGGGAGGGGACGGAGCCAACAGTCTGCTGCAGATTTTGGAAGACACTTGGAGGTCTGAGCTCCAGTACGCGAGAAGCTTTCTGTCTATTTGGTGTCAGTGGCTTCTGCGTGCCTGCTGCCTTGGTGCCATGCAGCGGCGACCGGACCTCGGTGGCTGTGTGCGGGTCGTTACCTGTGCTGGGCACATGGTGCTCTAGCGTTGCTGGTCTTGGTGGGAACTTGCTCTGCATTGCTGCTGAAGCATGATTCAGATGGAAGGGCATTATGGTACTGTCGTGGTTTAACCTCAGCCGGCAACTGAGCACTACGCAGCCGCTCGCTCACTCCCCCCCACCCGGTGGGATGGGGGAGAGAATTGGAAGAGCACAAGTGAGAAAAACTCGTGGGTTGAGATAAAAACAGTTTAATAATTGAAATAAAATGATGATAATAATATGATAATAATAATAATATGCAAAGCAAGTGATGCACAGTACAATTGCTCACCACCCGCCGACCGATGCCCAGCCAGTCCCCGAGCAGCGGCCCCCCCGGCCAGCTTTCCCCAGTTTCTGTACTGAGCATGACGTCACATGGTATGGAATGTCCCTTTGGCCAGTTTGGCTGTGCCCCCTCCCAGCTTCTTGTGCACCTCCAGCCTGCTCAGTCGGCAGAGCATGGAAAACTAAAAAGTCCTTGACTAGTGTAAGCATTACCTAGCAACAACTAAAACATCGGTGTGTTATCAACTTTGTCCTCATCCTAAATCCAAACCACAGCACTGTACCAGCTACTAGGAAGAAAATTAACTCTATCCCTGCCGAAACCAGGACAGGTACCCAGACTTGCTTGGTGTTACTGTGACCCTCTCCGCGGTGACTGAGGCAGGAGGCTCATGGTGCAGACAGGCTCTTCCTGAAGGAAAGATCATCTCAGGGGGAAGGAGAATTTCCCATCAAGGAGAATGGGGAGGGAGGTCCTTCCTAATACACAAATGAGTCAGGGTGGCCAGATCCCAGGCTTGAGTTTTTGCAGTCTTGAGCGGACGGGGGAACACTTGTGTCGTCAGGTCAGGAGGAAGCTGGCTGTGCCCAGACGCTTGGACCAACACCCATCAGTTAAGCCATTTGTGAAGCTTTGCTTTAACAGCAGAGCCCAGAACAAACAGTTTCTATCCCTGAATCAATACAGCCAGTCTTGTCCAATTTGCAGGGCTAAAGCTTTGCCTCCAAAGGCGCGGGTTCCTGGTTGCGTTCGGCAGGTTGTTCCTGACCATTTCTGAAGAAAATTGGAGCAGATATATGAGTTCTTGAACACAGCCAAAACTCTGGCATGTCGATTTAAAAAAGCACAGCTGTGTCGGATTCCAGCCTGAAGAGGAAAAAGGATGTTTTCCTGGGATTGGAGAGGAGTGCTCAGGGTCAGGACTCCGGTGGTCTGTTTAAAATGCTGCCAAGCACTTCACTTTTGCATAAATTTATCTTACAGCTTTTGTTGCTCTTTTCTCGCCGCCATCTCGGTCTCGGTGCTGCTTTGGGTATAGAGGACATTCAGCCCCTTTCACGTGTCTGTGCAGCATCTGCTGGATCGGAGTTTGGGCTGGTTCCTCCTTCAGTGCTACGCCCTGAAACCCAGGCGGGGAAAAGGGAGGAAGCAACAAACTTGGCTCCCGCGGGGCCCGTTTGGGGAGCTTGCTTGGGCTGGTCCTCGGGAGTGTTGAAGAGGGGGACAGGTGCTGACAGGGTGCTTCCCAAAAAAACCCTTGCTGATTGATATGTTTTAAGACGAAGCCAGAAGCATCTGCAGTTTTCAAGCCCCGAGAAGGAGCGTGCCGTCTCCTGGGAAGTCGCAAAGCCATTTTCACATGGGAGTTTGTTACATGGGTGGGCAGAGACCGGGAAGGAAAAAACATCGCAGTGAAAGCATGCTCCTTTGATCCCGGTGATGTGTGTGGGATCAGAGGGGCTGCCTGGCAGGCCAGGGTAAGAGCATTTGGGTTTGCGTCTGACGCTGGCTTTGGCAGGGGACAGGGGTGCGGGAGGCTGGTGGGCAGCCCTCCCTGGCCGAGGGGACGCGAGAGCAGCCTTCTCGCCTCACTCCCAACGCCACGGACGCAGCACCTCTTCTGACACTGCCGTGTCCCCTCTCTCGAGGGAACAGTGTGGAGGTGGATCCTCCTAAAAAGCGACCGCACTGACTGCCAGCTTGAGAAACCAGTGAAACAACCAACGCTGTGGGAACAGCCTCCCCTGGTGCTGCTGCCTCCATCAGCCACTGTGAAGACACCCAGAGCCGTCTGGAGGGCAGTGGGAGCCCAGCCAAAACACCGCTTCCCAGCTCCCAGGTGTGATGGGGAGGGGACCCTGGCAGTGACCTCTGGTGAGGGAGGAGTATTAGTTGTGTAATTAGCAGCGGTGGCCCGCTCCCCCTGCAACAAGAAACTCAATCTGGCTTAACAAGGAAGGGCCTGCTGTGCACAGCTGTCTGCGTGCGAAGGTCTGCTGGGGTGGGAACCCCCACACCCCCTAAAAGCACCTCCTGCACTCCCTGCCTCGGTGGACGGCCAGGTGCCTTCAGCTCTGAGCACAAACACCCTCCATTTCCTTTCTGCCAACACTATCGGACTTGGGGTGAGCCCTGCAGGATTTCCCCCCCGCAACTGGTAGGGGCAGAGGTATTAACTAGTGAGTTCTTAGTGGGAGGAATTGGTCTGGGACCTTTCCCAGCTCTTCCCAGCAGCCACGGGACCGCTGTCGGCAGCGAACGGTGCGCCCATTTCTCATCCCAACCACACACGAAGCAGCAACTTCACTAAACCGCAGGGACAGGGTCCTGTGAAGCCTATCACAAATTTAGGCACACAGGGCATGCTGAGGGCAGGGGGTGGGTGCTGCTTCAATCCTGAGGGCAGAACACTGGAGAAATCTGTCTTTTTTTGCTGATTGCCTTGGCCTGGACTTTGCTGGCCCAGGGAGCAGCCTGCCTGTGCTGGGATGCCACAGGACCAGCCCAGGCTCATCCCAAACTCTGGGTCATACCACTCCCGCTGCAAATTTATCTCAGTGGTGCCGAAGCACCTCATTTGGCTCAGCTGTGCCAGAGGAGGGGTCTGTCGGGGAGCAGAGCAGCTCCTGCTCTGGGGATTACCCTGCTAGAAAAGGGGTTTCCTCAGCAGATGGGACTGTAGCTCCTCCTGACCTGGCTGCGCAGCTGAAGTGGGTGAGTGCCTGCAGTTTTAAGCTCTCCTGATATATTGATGATTTTGTGTGCTTCTGGTTGGTGTTTGACCATGAGAGGGTTGGGGTGTGCCGCTTGGTGGAGGTTCTGCAGCAAAAGATGTGAGCTGGGCTACGTTGAGCCCAGTTCCTCAAGAGGAATGGGAGGCTCTTGCTGTCCTGGGTCTGCAGCTGGGGGTTGCCTCCTCCTGCCGAGCTCTGGGCTCTCTGGTGTGCGTAAGGTCTGCGCAGTCACCCTGTGAGAGAGCTGGGGCTGGTAACGCTGCTGTCTTCAGCTGGCCCGTGCACTGCAGCCTGCCTCGCTGCAGGGGAGATGCCTCTGCCCGGAGGGGTGAAGTGGAAAAAAGCAAACGGTAACAAAAAAAAAAAGACCACAAAAAGACAAAAAGCATCGCTTTGCACTGCTTCCCCCAGGCACCGCTGCCCGGTGCCGCTTCCCTCTGCGTGAAATTCTTATTTCAGAATAAGAAACTCTTCTTATTCTGAGTGCAGGTAAATTCTGGAGATCAGATGACTTTGGATTAAAGTCACCTTTACAGGGTTGGGAGGAGGAGGGGTGGTGCCTTCATGGTGAGACCTTGCAGCCCTCTCTGCAGAGCCGGTGGAGCTGAGGGCTCTGTTCTGCTTGGGGTTTGTATTTACCTGTACTGTGCGGTGCTCCCTCAGCTGCCAAACCCTGGGGAGGCAGTTAAACAAACTGACTAATCTCTGTGTTTGGTGTCTACTTGTGGCTCTCTGAACACAATAAGGGATTAACTTGGTCTTTATCTAATTGGCTTATAAACTAGGGAAGGGAAAATCGCTTTGTAATGCATGAAACCTCTTAATAGAAACTCAGAGACTAGAGCCTGAGTGTCCTTCCTAAGTAAACTCATACACATCTCTTCCTTTTAACTCTCCGTTTGCTGGAAATTAGCTTTTCTGGGTGTTAAGTATTTGTTCTCCGGTTCCCAACAGCTTATGCTGACTTGTTATAAAGCCTTGCCTTTTGTTATCGCCAAGGTTACTTTTCTCTGTAACGTTTCTATCTGTGACTGTTCAGGAGTCTCTGAACGGGTCTCGCTGCTTGGTAACTCCTCAGTGCTGCTGGTGAACAGGGCGTGGGGCTGGAGCTGCGGGATAACGGGAGCTGTGCCTACTGTGTCCTGCGGACCACAGCCCTGGCGCTCAAAGCAGGGATGTAGCCATGCAGCGATGCCTCCCGGGTGACAAGCAAGGGCTACAAGCTGGGGCAGAATTGCTCACTAGCGCTAATCGCTAAATAAAAGTAAGGAAGGGCTGGTAAAAATCTGGGACACGGATGGGAAGAAGTAGTAGAATGGCGTGAAACCAGAGGGGAAGAAGATGGGGAGATGAAGGAAGGGGATTGAAGCCCCTCTTGTGGCTACAGTGGGGGCTCTGTAAAAAGGAGAAGGTCGTTGGGATAGTTCTTCAGCTTCTTGCTGCAGTGAAATGGTGCACCGTAACACAATCCTTGCTCCTCTGCTGTGTGCCTGGAGGATGGATTAAGGCTGACTACCTTTGATTAAACTAATTTGCCACCTCTGCTGCCTTATCATTCAGCTGGTGCTGCCAGGCAGGGCTGGGCTGTAGCACTAACATCCTCCTGCTCTGCTCCGGGTTGCTGCTCCATAGCCCGTACTGTTGGGATATGCCGTGTGGGTTTGGATTTCTTGACTCCCTGCTGTGCTCTCTGTAAAAGATGTGGCACCAAGACAGCTCTGCAAAATTATTCCTGCTGGAGTTGTGTTGGGGGTGTGGAGTGTGCCTAATCCCTCCCCTGCGTGAGAACATGCTGCTGGGAGGGGATGTGTGAGTAGGAAAGCTTCAAAGAACTGCCTGTGCTTGGGAATGCTTGGATCTGCCTGGCCTGTGCAACCTTCCGTGCACGGCACCTGTGTGTGGGGCACGTGGCCTGGTGGCTTTCTGAGCCACGACAGCGAGGAGAGGGCTGCGTGTCCCCCCCCGGGGCTCCCAGCCGCTGCCCTGCAGCCAGCTCCTTCCTCCGGGAAGCTGGTAATTAAAGCAGGAACCATTTCTTGGCTTCACTAGTGGGGAGGCTGGAGGGAGTCACCCGCCCTGCTGAGATGCACATGTTGGAGAGCCCGTTCTGGCTGTCATGCCTTAGACTCATCAACAGACACAGCCTGCACTGGCTTAATTAAACCTGAGCCGCCCCATGCTGAGCCTCCTCACTGCAAGCTTGACTACTGCAGGTCAGGCTCAGCCCTGCACACAGTTAGAGGCAGATGAAAGGTTGCTTAAGAGCTTCTCCATGCAAAGCTGAGCTGGCTTAAAGAAACAAACCCATTCCCCTTCTGAACCCAGTATTGGTGCCGGCCTTCCAGGTAGGAGCTTCTCACCTGCCTCCTGAGAGCTCTTATGGCCACTTGTTTTACAGCTTTGTTTTGCCCTCTGATGATCTGAAGGGAGATGGAAGATTTGTGCCAGTCAAATGATAAATGGTTTGTTCTGCTACAGATTCTCTGGATCTGCTTCCTCCACATTTTTTTGTGGACACCTAGAGATCAGGAAGGAAGATCTCTGCACGTGTGCTGCTTATCTGGGGTGTCTTGATAAGGGAGAGAAGATGCTTTAGGATGCAAGTCTGTGTTTCTTCTCTGATTGTTGAGGGAGTCTAGATGAGTAACTCAGTCACAGATGTCTAAAGCTGGGTGAGATGAATTTCCACCTCCGTGTCTGGAGCTTGTGGTAAGCTAGATGCTGCCTGTGCAGTTTGTATTGCAAGGACTGAGCTCTGGTGACTCAAAGCTTGTATTTTGGGACGCTCATGCTGAGGACAGGGAAAGTGGTTTTGTTGGCATTTCCTCCCCTCTCTGCCCCCCAATTCTCATTCCTCTTCCCTTCTGATTTGTGCTGGTCAGGTAGATTTAGGAGGGGCAATCTCCCCCATGCCTCCCCAAACCAGGTCCATCTGTAGACTGGTAGCATCAAGCCATCATCTGGGTGCAGCGTGCACCCACAGGCTGCAGAGCTCCTGCCGCAAGCAGCTGAGCTTCCCCTCCCATGTTTCCAGTGCATTTGGCTTGCGTAGAGCTGGTTGGGGCAGCTGTGTGCCGTTGGCTCTATCCCTTCCGCTCTGCTCGCAGCAGGGAGGCCGTTCCCCGGCTTTGGGCCCCAATCTCTGGCTGCAAACAGGCATTTTTAGTGTTGGTCCCCTCTGGGACAGCTGAGCCTCATCAGGGCATCCAGAAGCCTCTCGTGCCTTGGATGCGATGGTCGGTGCTAGCAGACAGTGCGTGTGCGTGCAGAGGGCACTGGTGAGGTTGGGCAGCATCACGGTTCCCTTGCGGTTGTCTTTTGTCCTATAAATAGTTCTCCACCCCAACCACTCTTCCCTTTGTTGGTCTCAGTTGATCCTCTCCAATACTGGTGCAGACACCTCTTGCCAGAGTCCTGCCAGCCCCCTGGCTTTATTTTAAGGCCATATTAATTAAAAGCAAATGAGTGGAATTTCTCTTGACATCCAAATTAATAGCAAATGAGATAATTATGAGCTGTGTCATTAGGGTGATGGAGCAGCTTGTACAGGGCTCAGCCCAAAAGGCAGCAGATCTGCAGTCCACACATATAGCTCTCCTCTCTGGTGGCAGGCCCCCCCCCCCCCCCCCCCCCCCCCCCC